ATACACACACTCGTACACACACATATACACACATGTGCACGAAGACAGACATACACACACACGTGCACCCACACACACGCACGCGCACACTCACGTCCACACACACGCACACACTGACACACACACACACACACACACACACACACACACACACACACAGAGGTAATAACAGTTGTAAAGCGCATAGAGCTTGCTCTTGAGCATGGATACGCGCTATATAAATGCAATTATTATTATTATTACATACACACATACACACGTGCATGAACACACACACACACACACACACACACACACAATTTCACACACAGATACACACACACACACACACACACACACACACACACACACACACACACACACACCTGTGAGTCCCCAGAAGCACTGCCCTCCATGCAGGCTGTCTTTGCGTTAGAACAACATCCTGCTTTTGGGTTATCGCCGCTGATTAGCGCGTCCATCTTCCGCTTCCGGTCTTTGTTTGGTTGACTCATGGCTTTTTTAGCGTGCGTCTGGAGAGAAAAATGGTTGGTTGGTCTGAGGTTTATTTATTATTTTAAAAAAAATTATAGTTGAGGGTTTTACGGCGCTCGCAACTGCATGAGGTCATATGAGCGCCAGAAGATTAGAGGTGTTACAAGAGAGTAACAAACGTAAAAAAGAAGAAGGGGAGATAAAGACGACAGATGTCGATAGGAAAGAAGAAGCAAACCACACCAGAGCACCCACCAACCACCCATGTTTGAGGTTTGAGTTTAGAGTTTTAAATTCCAGTTAGTAAAAGTAAAGTTTTGAGTCATGAGTTTGGTTTCAATAAAAAGAAAAGAAGATTTATTGGTATATTGTTAGAGTTTTGATTTTCAGTCTGAGTTAAATAACGCAAAGCTGGGCTGTATTATTTGACAATTGCTTTATCTAAACCTTTTCATGACGTTTTGCAGGCTTTTGTGGTGTAGTAGTAGGCTCTGCGTGATCATATCTTTCAGGTCTCATGCAGAAGACGTGACATCAGTCTTCGAGTGTAGGTAGTCCTTCGTTTCCGAAGATGACGATGAAATCCTGCAGCTCATCCGTGGACGCGCATGTGGCTGAAATACGATTCTCGATGTACAATGTATGTTGCAGTGGGGACACTGGAATGTCGTTGTTGGGGTGGTCGGATTATGCCTCCTCTCTCTTCTGATAGTCTGCTTGTCCCTGTAGTTGGTATCACTGTTTCTGCTGGCAAGACGGTGGCAGTTCTTTCGATCTTGGAGTATCTTACTACTTACTCTCTCCCTATACCGTCAGGTACATAAGGAGGAGAGCATTCGAGGCCACGCTTGCCTGTCCGTGGGAGCGTCTTCCATTACTTCCAATTTCGGCAAATCCAGACCCGGGGTGATTGCCTCATCTCTTGTTGTGTCTCTATAGCTTCCAGTTGGTCTTCCCTATTTTGTTTTCAGTTGGTTTCCGTTACTAAGTCTGATAGGATAATCTTGTCTATTTCATTCTTAGAATATGTCCTAGATGGGGGCGTTATTTTGTCAAGTACATTATTTAATATATCATTCTAAATTCCACTCAGCCCTGGTTGGACTCGAAAAGCGAAGTCAAATCAGTCTGCCTACTGTATGATCTATAAAGTTCCGATGAGGGCGTGAAAGATTTTGTTTTAGTAAGCGTTTTACGACGCTCGCAACGCAGTTAAGTTATTTAAGTGAAGACGATTAAAGGTGCTGCAAGCGAGTGACAAATACAGAAAAAGAAGGTAGAGATATAAGGACGATAGATGTTTGAAAAGAAAGAAGGAGCAAACCACACCAGAGCACCCGCTAACCACCCGCATGAAAGATTTACACTTACAATTTGAAGACAATGAGGTCAACAAGATAGAGACATTCAACAGAGCATCAGTGGCGTCCCCCCAAACTATCTACCTAAGGCAGGCGGAGAGAGTAAAGAAAATAAGGCTGTATTTGATTTTAAAAAACCCCCAACTGCAACAGAGCCAGTACCAGGGGTACTTTCTAGTAACACTTCCAATCTTCGGCATTTATATGACCTATGTTGCACGTGCTGTAAATTGTAAAACTCTTCCTAAATCAACACCCCATCCCCCCTGAAATAATAAAATATAGACCAAGAATAACTTACTTAGAGTAGGAGAACTCGAACAGATTGGTGACTTGAGTGATGTAGGGTTTTTGCTTTGTTTTGTTTTGTTGTTTCGCAGCTTGCAGAGAAATGAATTGTGAACCATGATTACCGAGACCTGTTTTAGATCTGGCACTTGATCATGAATATCATGCATAGTCAACTTTATGATTTATAACACCGCTGTTTGAGTCATTTTGAAGTCACGTGATCCTTCAAAGAGATACACGACATTACACCACAGAGGTTTTGATATTCATCTAGATCTAGATCTAGATCCATTTATTTATATCTGCTGTAATGTCTCCTTTCCGGCGATGACATTTTTTTCACTTGTATGAAACAGATGTAGATCGATGTGTTTTCCACACAAACAACTGCTTAGAAATCTTTGTCGGCGTGTAACAATGCAGACGCATATTATCGAAATTTAACAATGTTTACGGTTATTGAGGCAAGGAGTGAGGCAAGGGTGTGTTATGTCACCAGACCTCTTTAACATGTACAGTGAAACAATCCTTAGAAACATAGAAGAATGTCCAGGCCTCAAAGTAAATGGAGAAAATATTAATAACATCAGGTATGCA